GGTCGCCATGTACCTCGGGAACACACCAACCTTGGTCCCCCCGAGGTCAGTCTTTCCTCGGCACCGAGGGTCACTCCATCCTGGACGCTTCCTCTACTCCCGGATGAAGCTACTGACAAAACTGGACATCAGCCTATGCCAGTATGGACTAGTCATCATGATCTCTTCTTACACAAGAAATGTCAGAACATGCTGGGATACAGAAGTCGTAGCCAATAAGTGACGGACGCGTGGCATATGATGTCACATCAAAAACAGGCAAACCGCACGCTATTGCTGACATGCGCTTTGGGAAGCAAACAATTAATTGCACCCTTCTGTTGACGAGACCGCATTCAATGCGGTAAGGTTCGGATATGAAAGGCAATAAATGCTCCTTTTACAGAGCATTTATTGCATCCTTCCCGAAAGGAGCATATTGTACCGTCGGCGTCCCGACGACTCAACATTGATTGCTCGGGATCCCGAGCAGTCAATTAGAGAAGACATTCCTCATCAAATCAAGACACACGCTGCCAGTGCCTGATGATCACCTACTGACCACACTGACAGCAATCATGAGTTTCTAAGGTATAAATACCCCTCTCAAAAAGGCAAACGGTATGCAATCACAAACTCTCAACTACGAAATATCCTTCTCAGTGTTTTCTCCTTCCTCTCTCTCATTCAAAGACTGACTAGATCGTCGGAGGGGATACGCCGGAAAACACTCCGGCGCCCTTCTAACCTGTTCTCTTTTGTTCCAGGAAATACCTTTCGCACGTACAGTATCGTTCCTCCTTTCCCAGGATCGTAAGCTGTTTCGAGCAGTGTGCTTGGCCACTCAACCGGCTCACCCAAAGTTCACCAGGGGAGAGATCTGTTCCCAGTATTTTATATACATCGTGCAGGATCAAGCCCGCACATCTACTTTGACTAAAAAAAAGGAAGTAAGAAAAATTAAAACCCAAAAAAGGAAAAATGAATTGTTTTTCTTCGCTCTGACATTTCATTGACCACCTATGATACAAGTTATTGATTTCTAGTTTCAGCTTTGCCAAGGGTCATTTTTCTTCTCTTTGATATTTTGTCAATCACTTAGTATGCATAAAAGGAAAGGGGGTGGATCCTACATTTTTGTGTGCATGTGTGTGTGTGGGTTGTATGTGTGTCTGAGTGTATGCTTGGTGTGTGTTGTATCAGTGTGTACTGTGTGCGCGGTGAATGGGTGTGGGTGCTATGAGAAAAGTGAAAGAGCATAGAAGAGAAGAGGGAAAAAAAAAGACACTAACCTTAGGAGAGTCGTCGAAATTTTTAAGTTGTTGGAGTTTTACCAATAGTGGTGATAAGACACAAAGGCAGGAATAAAATTGGTGGCGGTGTCGTTGGGGCCAATGGTGGTGTCGCTGGAGATGGTGAGAGAAAGAAAGAAAAAGGAGAAATGGATGGAAAGGGGAGGAAAATTAAATGTGATGGAATTAGGGAAAATATATTTAGAGATCAAATTCAACCTTTATATATAAATAATGGGTTTAACAGAAATAAGTGTCAGTTCATTTTCACATTCATCTATACGTCAACTATTACGCGTATAGTCTATGTTCAGTCTACATAGAATGGGTTTGGCCGAATTCTATTTTTCATCTATCCGTTGTCATCCCTACTCTAAATAATTAAAAATAATTCGTTATCATAATTGAACAATGATAATTGAATTAAATGAACATGGGCCAACTCTTATGGGCCTTAGGGAGCTGTCAGTTGGGTCAGTAGTCCTAAAGAAAAATCTTGGAAAATGGCCTGCCATTTATGGGCTGGTCAAGTTGTTAAAGAACATGGTAATCCGTGGATAGCCCAACAACTAAATGAACATGGGTTTTCGGCCATCCATCATTCCCCCCCCCCCCCCCCCCCCCCCCCCCCACCCTCCCCCCCCCCCC